ACTATATATATATATATATATACATACACCTCTCTCTCTCTCTCTCTCTTTGACCTTGCCGCTGTCTCTTGTCCCGTCTCTTTTTTCCCAACGGGTTTCCGGCGGAAAAAAAACAAAACAAAACAAAAACAAACCACCAACAATAATATATATATATAACAGAAGAAGAGGTGGGGAGTGGTGGGGACTCTGAGGAGTGGATTCTGCGGTGCCGAACTCGTAGAGTTTTCCCCCCCCCCGAGACGCTCTCCCCGCAGATATCATTACTTGCGTCTACTTCACTGGCACCACGCGCATTGGCGCTCCCTTTTACGCCGAGGCACACCGGAGGAGGCAGCAGCGGCCAAACCGGGACCGCGAGAAGGAACGGGGGGTAGTACAAAACTAACCAACGGGCTATGGCTGCTGCACCTTGCATTTTCCCACCGTTTGCGGTGGTTGTCCCTGGCTTTCCAGTTGTGACGGAGTTTCAGTGCCTGGACGGCGTGCGTTGGATTACGCCCGTGGGCAACGCACCGGAGTCCATTGTCGTCTTTCTCACCTCCCCCGCGCCGCTCCCGCCCGGCACGAGTCTTGGCATCTACCTCGCCCGAGAGGACGATGGCGCCTTTTTGTACGTGGGTCACTTGTCAAACATGCGACCGAGCACCATCCTGCGTGTGCCATCTGCCTTGCTGAACGTGGATGTTCCGGTGCAGTTGGTGCTTGGAGTTAGCCAGGAGAAGGAGGAGGACGTGGCAAACCTGGGCGCAACACTGGAGCAGCCGCTGCAACAGGAGCAGGCGGCGACAAAGCTGGCCATTGCAGAGCGCATTGTGGAGGATGTATACAACTTTGTCATGTCCTACGGCCGGGTGTTGTCCGCGGACCCAAGTGACGCGCAGTCGGAGGAAACCGTGTACCTTCCCGCCTCCTTTCTGAGCCGCTGGCGAGAGCGTGTGTTGACGAAGATACGCAAGGACGCATCCTTCTGGAGCTGAGACGCAGGCATCTTACGAATTGTTGCCTTCCTTGGCGCTGTTGTGTTGTTTTGTTTTGTTTTGTGTGCGCGTGTGTGCCCTGCTGCTACCCTCACCGACGCACGAAAGGGGCGTGGGCGCTGATCGATGCCGCACTCCCCCCTCCGTCGCTGCGGATTGACTGCGTCCGCGCCTCCCCCCTGGCGCGGCTGGTTGCCCGCGGGGGGCGGCAAGGGACGCGAGGTTGACCGCGCGTGTCCGTCTCTGCAGGAGGGAGCGGGGAGGGGGAAAAATAAAAAGAGCAGAGACGTGTAAAAACGGGCGTCAGAGCTGTTTATTTATCTGTTTGTTTACACACACATTTATATATATAATTGTTAGATTTTTCTTGGGGGGCGGTCACCGCCGCTGCTCCTCCTCCTCCGCCTGCATGCAGGCGTACACGCACACGCACAGGCAGCGAGGGGGAGAGCCGAAGAAAACGAGGGCCGTGCATGCCCATACACGCACGCCCTGGGTGTGTGTGTGTGCGTGCGTGACTGTTGCCACTTCCTCTTCCCTCCCCGCTTCTCTACTTCTCGTGCGTGGGAGTAAAAGGGAGGGGGGGGAAAAAAAAAATGGGTTGACGTTGTTTTCTTCACTGCGTGTCGCTCGTCACTTGCCGCTTCTGCCCCGTTGTCTTCGTTGCCGCGCAAAGGACCACACTGAAGCGCAGGACGCACAAACAAGCAAACAGCGCGCGAGGGAGAAAGAGCGAGAGAGAGAGAGACGCATTGCGTGGATTAGGGCTGAGGAGGAAAGGAGGCGAAACATTGTTTTTCTTTTCTTCCCTTTCCCTCGTAAAGAAAAGGGGGAGCTGCAGAGAAGAAAAGAAACGAAGAAGAAGAAGAAGAAAAACAACAAAGAAAAAAAAAAGGAAACGTGCTGGTGGCTGTAGGCCGCACACACAATCACACAATCACACACACACGCATCACCCGACGATAATAAAATAAAATTTGAACCTTTTAAACAAAACAAAACAAAAAAAGGGGGAAGGGGTGGGGGGAAGTGAACGCCTTTAAAACAAAACAAAAAACAAAACAAAAACAAAAAAAAACGAAAAACATAAAAACGGGGGCACACGGCGTCCTTCAGAGCAGCAAAGTTCTCTGAGAGAAAAAAAAAGACGGAGCACATTATACACACACGTGCAGAAGCAAGCAAAGCGGCGAAGCCGGGGGGTTGGAGGCTTTTGTGTGTGTGAGAGAGAGAGTGGGAAAGAGAAGGAAGGAAGGAGTGTGTGTTCCTTGTTTTTTTTTCGCTACAAGAGGGAAAGCAAAAGCAAGAACAAAGGAGGACGCCAACTAAGCGAAGAGCGCCGCTGGTGGTAGGGGGGCGACGTCCATAAGCGTCAAGAGCAGCCAAACCGCGGTGCAGCGGTGGGAGGGCGGGGACAACTTCTCAGCCCGCACGTAGGCGCGACAGGGGCGACGGCAAGGCGCCCACCGTTCCGGCGTAGCTGAGCGGCAGCGAGGCCGTTGTACTTTTAACTGCGGGGGGTTTCAGTGCGTTTTTCCGCCGTCGCTGGGTGGGGTGACCGGTTGCAGGAAGAGCAATGGGCGCGTTCCCGTCGCACGACACCCCGGAGCTGTTCTACACGACGCTCGTCCCTCGGCCTTCGACGGGCACTCAAGTTGAGGTCTGCCTTGTGCCGCTGCTGCCGCGCTTCTTCAACGACACGCACAAAAAGGCGAAGCGCAAACTCAACGACATTCTCTCACGCAATGGGGCGGAGCAGCCCGCAGCGGCGGCGACGTCGTCGGGGACGGCGACGCCAGGGAGTGCGGCGGCGAGCGCCCCATCGAAGCGGATGGAGCCGACGAGTAGCGGCCCCATCGTGGATTGCCTCATCGCCTCCACGGACCCCTACTTCCTCATCAAGGCAAAGGACGCGATCATGAGCAGGGAGGCACTGCTCGAGCACCAGCAGCAAATGAAGAAAAATAAATCGGACACCCCGGACCCCCTCGCGGCGCCGGCGGAGGCGGAGGCCTCGGCAAAGGAGCCAAACGCCCCCCAACAACAGCATACGGCGCAGCACTCCACCCTGCAACCCTCCTCTTTCCCGCTGATGCGTCCAGTGCCGTTTGCTGTCTGCATCCTGGACCCCGACAACGCCAGCAATGACTCCTCCACAGTAGCGGCAAAGCCACATTCGCTTTCGAACAGGCAACATCAGAATCTTGCAGCAAATAGTGGAAATGTCTTAACGATCAAAGGTCGCCGTCTGCAACTCGTGGGACTGATATCGTGTTGCCTGGGTCGTCAGGTGCACCTTATTAACCCTGCCACCTTTACCAAGACGCAGGTGCTTGGTGGAGGGAATGGCACATCCTCGTCAACTCCGGGTATAGGGGATAGCAGGAAGCCGTGCATCCCCGTGGTGTTAGATGTCATATTTGACGACGTCGAGGCGCATGGGTATCTCACAGAGCATGTCGTGCTTCTAGCTTCTTTAGCGTTTCGAAAGCAATTTGTGAATTCATGCGCCCTTTATTACCCTGCTAACGATAGAGATGTCGAAGCCTCCTTTGACTATTATATGGAACGCTTACAACTACGGCTTGTACTACAGCGGAATAACTACCGCGAACTGCGTATGTTTTATTCGCACTATGCATTGTTAGACATGATAAAGGAGCTTCACATGCAAGAGGCTGCCCCCACGCATTTCTCGCTGTATGAGACGCACCTTGGCGAGTACGGTTTGGAAGTGACCTTCAGTAACAAGTTTCTAGGCACCTGGATGCGGTATGTGGAGAGTAAAATGCAGGTGGACCGTGTCAAAGGTCAACACGTCCGCTGTAGCGCAAAAGAATTTTTGCAGGAGCGTCAACGGTTAATACAGGAGCGACACGACAGCGGGGTTCTTTTGGAGGAGGAGGAAGAGGATGAGCGTCTCTACGGAGGTCCACTGCTTGCAGCTACACTCAAGCAGTGGCTTTTGGCGGGGTCGCAGTTGCTTCTGCAGCAGCAGGCCCAACTCACTGCGGCTCAACAAATGGTGTTCCCTCCCGCGTCTTCGACCGCGGCTGGCTTTTGGTCGCAACTGCCCCCGATGGTGATGGGAATGCCTCCTGGGTGGACACCGAACGTCATGCCATTCAACGCCGCAGCAACGCCAATCCCACTCATGCCAGGCCAGCAGCAGCAGCCGCCACCGCAATTTATGATTCATGGAGGTCGACCGCAGCTGTGCTACCCTTCGCCACAAGCGACTATTCCAGGCACCACCACTTTCTCGCCGCCCGTCGGTATGCAAGTCGTCTCCTCCGCTCCTTCATCTTACGGTGTGGCGGCGCCCGGTATGCCGCCGCAGCAGATTGTGTACATGTTTCCCGGCGGTCAAGTTTACCCGTCATCTGCCATACCACATGCTGCGACCGCACCGGTCGCCTTCCCGCCTGCTCCCACCACGCCGATGTACTTTGCGCAGCCGCCCTCGTATGGGGTTCCTTATAGCTCATACATGTTTCAACAGTCAGCACAGCCACAACCGGCGCCGGCACCACCGGAATAAAAAAAAGAAGGTCAACCACAGCGGCGGTGCTCGCAATGGTGGAAGCTGGAATTCACACAGGCGTCGCAGCGTCGCTTGGGGGCTCAGAGAGTTACGAAGCTAAAAGGAGCGGTGAGCGTGTGTGCGGCTGAGGCGCAAATAATTGGAGCCCGCGGGGGTTGGCCTGGAGGAAGCTGTACACCAATGTGCGTATGTATCTGCGTGCTTGTGTGCTTTTCGGCGTGCGTTTTCTATCTTTGGCCTGCACTCCCTCACATGCATCAACTTTGAAGGAGAACGAGGTGGAGGAGGAGCCAGGCGGACCCGGCCTGTACGCACGTCCCAAAAGGCGTTGCTGGGGCGATGGCGTGTGCCGGACGCCTGGCTCTGCGTCCCTGCAGAGAAGGGGGGGGGGAAGTGTTGCCGGAAAAAACGAAAAAAGGAAGAGGGAAGAGGAAGGGGGCCTTTGAACTGCACAGAGGCAATCTGCACACCTCGTTGAAGCGTGGCCAAATAAAGTCAGGCGGGAAGGTGTGCGGGAAGAAGGAATAAGAAGAAAAAAAAACGAAAACAAAAATCTTTTACAAGACGCGGCGCCCACAAAAAGAAAGGAAGCTCAGTCAGGAGTAAAGAAAATACATGCGCATATATCTATATATTAAGGCAAGGGAAATAATCGGAAACAACGACAGAAAAAAAAAATTTTTTTGTATGAAAGGAAAGTCCTGTGCGTGTTCCTTTGTGCGTGGATGGATGGATGGAGGGCGAGGGAGTTTGTGTGTGCCGAGATACATATAACTGCAATGCTTAACAGAGAAGGCAGAGATGAGGAGGAAAAAAAAAAGTAAAGGGAGGGATGTGGGAAAGTGAGAGGATGCGATGCACACATGATAACGGTAAAAAGAAAGAGAGGGCCATTACTACCTTCCCAGTAAACGAAGAGAGTGAAAAAAAAAACAAGCAAAGAAAAAAATGAGGAGGGGGGGGAAAGGCGAACAAAGAACAAAAGCAGATATCAACAGCAATAACAAGTGCATCACCGTTAAGGAAGAGGAATAAGGTGAATGCGGGCGCAGAAGGGATGTTTGATTGACACACGTAAATGACGAAACCAAAAAAAAGGGGGGGAGGGGCTGTGGAAGGGAGGATTTTGCCTCTACTGAGAAGAACTACAGATCGCGGGGGCATGGCCACGAAGAAAAAAAAAGCGAAAAGGAAAAAAGTAACTGATGAAGTCATGAGATGTTTTTCAGCTTCAACTCTTGCCCTCTGCCCCCGCATTCTTTTTTATTTATTTTGGGGCTTCTGTGTCTGTGGCATACCTGTGGTGCTGGCTCGACGGTAATGATCCATATTTTTATTCTTGTGTTCTGAATTCTTTCTTCCTTTTTTTGTTTATCTACACCGCACTATATTTCGGGTCGTACACGCGTGTGTGTGCCTATGTAGGTATTTATGTGTGTGTGTGTGTGTGTGTGTGTGTGTGTGTGTCTGTGCGTAGGTGAGGTGAAGTGAGAGGTTTGTCTCGCTGCTACGAGCACTGCTGGTGATGACACACATCTGCCCTTTTCGCCTTTGTTACGCCCACTGTTGCGACACATTACACGCATGTATCTCGTTATTTATTTTATTATGAGTTGTACTTGTTGCTGTTCATTGACTTTGCTGTGCCCCGTCACTGTGCGGCTGTGAGCAGTTCTTGCTGCATTATTATTGTCGTTTTGTTGATGGTGTTAAATTTTATTTTGGGCGTTTATGTTCTCTTACTACACACACACACACACGTACGCGCGCGTGTATATATATATATATATATATGCCCGCTGTGTGTGAGTGTGTGTGCCATACTTCCCCTTTTGTTTTGTTTTTTTGGCTTTGTTTTACTACTCCTCGCTGCGTGACTTGTCCCCTTCACAAAAGGGAAAACCGGCGCCGTTGACCCCACTCCATCCACCGCCCCTCCCGCTCCCTGCCGGCACCTCCCTCTCTCTCTCTCTCTATCTATCTATTTCATTCTTTCCTTCTGCACATTTGGGTGTTGTGCTGCGGCCCGCGCGCAGTGGAGCACCTCTTCAACCGGCGGTCTGCGTGCACCGATAGACTCAGGGAGGGAGGGTGGAAGAAACCAGCAGAGGCACACCGCCGCAGGCAACACAGGCACGCAAATACGTGTGGCACCCTCCGAGCGAAGGCGACAGCCGGGGGCCAGCAACACACCAAAGCAAATAACACAGTGGAACAAGGGAGGGAAAGCTGGGAGGAGGAGGAGGAGGCGAGGAGGACAAGTTTCTGCAGTCACTCCTTGCGGAAACTAAAGCAAAAAAATAATAGGCGGACCTAATAAAAGGCAGGTAGTAAGGCGACGAGGCATTCATTATTGTCAGCCACAGCATGGGCGGGGTTCCCTCACGTGATGCGTCTCCTACCTTCTTCTCCCTTCGCTATGGCGCACACGAGGTGGGGCTCATTCCGCTCCTACATGCTTACTTCCGCAGTGAGGAGAAGGAGTTGCGGGGGCAGTTTGTTCGTATGCGCAACGATCCAAGCGTGCGGTACAGCTTCATGCGTGGCACGGAGTACAACATGAGGCAATTACCACCGGCGTCGTACACCGAGGAAAAGCTTGACAAGTTACTTGATGTTATTGATGCAACTCTGTATGACACTGCAAAGGAGATGCTGGAGGATGAAAAAGCCCCACTGCGTCCTGTACCATGTGCTGTTTGTTTTGTTTACGTCAATGGTCGAGAAGGAACAGAGTGTTTTCCATTCTACGGTCGGCGCATAAATGTTATTGGGCACTTTGGCTGCCACAAGTACGAGGATAGAGGGGACGAGGAGCCCTGCCTCTATCTGCGAAAAGCTATTTTAAAAGCGGCTGGGGACCGTACTTTGGAGCGGGTGGTGACGCTTGCCGCGATGGTGCTCAAGGAGGAATTTTTCAGGGCAGCTGCATCGGTTTATAGGGGGCAGGAGGCGACGGAACTGTTTTCGCGCCGCATCTCTCGTCTCTCGCTGATTAGCGGTACGCTGTGGAATAGATATCCTGTGCTAAAATTACTCCATGACACGGCTGCCTTTGCGTGGAGTGTGGAAAATGTGCAGGAGCACCGCGATGCCCCGCGCTTTTGTGCCTACGAGGTACCGGAAACTGGTGAAAGCGGTCTGGTGATGCAGATGGATGGGTCGCTGCTGTTGCGGTTTATCTGGAGGGCGTGCTCCACCGTCATCCCGTCCATGGTGCGTGGGATGTGGGAGCAGTTCGTCCTGGACGACGCGTTGACGCAGCAGAAGGAGCGGGTGATGAGCAACTGGCTGAAGATCAGCCCGGAGGTAAACATCTTCCTGGGGGGCGAGGAATTCACGTCGCGGGTGAAAAACCATCTTGAGAATTTGCTCCGCGAGGTGGTTCGGGCGCGTGAAACCCCGACGGACGACCTGAGCGTCTGGAGCGCAGAGCAGGAGTGCGGCCCTGACGGTAAAATATACCGCATCTTCAATTCACCCATTTGTGGACCATTTCTTGCCACTGTCAATGTGAAACGGGAGAAGTCGCATGGCACCAGCAACGGGTATCGCAAGGCGCAGCAGGCTTTTGAGCCGAAATTAAACAACTTTGGTGCCGCGGTTAAAAGTCGCGGCGGTGTGCCGCTAAGACACATCTGGCACGCGAACATGGGACCGCAAGCGCCCACCACCGGGCTTTTGCCGGAGTACGATGAAACCGTAAATTACATTGCCTCGCCGCGATTCGTGTCGCCGGGACCCTCGACGATCTGCCATATGGCATTGCCTGTTTCAGTGCTGCCGCCTAGTGGCACTTCCCTTGCGGCCACGCACAGTTCATCTGTGGTAGTGCTGCAGCAGCCTCTTAGTCCCACTCCGGAGTCCCTGCCTATTTCCACCATCTCTGCGCCAGTGAGCTCAGGCTTTCTTCCCTTCTACCAGGAATTGCCCAAGCCAACGCCGCTCGCAATGCAGTCACTTGGAATGCCGTACGTTGTGCTCACCAAGTCAGTTTCCGCGATAGCGCAGCAGAATCCGATACCAGTGAACACAAGCGTCACCACGGCGAAGGGCGGCACAGACCGCAACAACGGCAACGGCAACGGCAACGGCAACGGCAACCGTCTCGGCGGCGGCACCGGCAATGCTTTCGCCAAGTGTGGCGGAGCCACCTCCACGTTGTTTCAGCCCCAACTGACAACCCCCGGCCCCATAAATGGGGCAACGTTTAGCAATTTAGTGAACGTAACGACGGGGTTGCAACAAACATGCATGCAGTCTGTAGGAAATTACGTTTTGCTGCCGGATGGGAGAATTGGGCTGCTAGGTTCCGCACCCGTGACCTCAACGGGCTACTTGAATCCCTGAAGTAGGAAAAAAAGGTGAGGGAACACACACACAATATATATATATATATTCTTGTTTTTCTTTATTCACTTTGTATGGCTGCTGTGCGCAACTTCCCTTTATTGCTGTTCGTCCTTGCCTCTTGCGTCGGTAACTGTGCGTCCCCATTTCACGCTGTGGCTTTGCCTGGCGAGTATGACTCTCCGTGCGGCTCCGCGTTGCTGGGCGTCGCACGGGGTCCACTGCGAGCGAAGAAGCTGGAGGCTGTGGGGCTGGCGAGGCCGTAAAGGCGGAGGTGGTGAAATGGGGAAAATGGCGATGGAGCAGAAGCGGAAAAGAGCGGCAGGAAGCGCTTCCTGCCGCTCTTTGGTTTCTTTTACCCGTTTCACCCCCGCCTGCATGCAGGCACAGCGGTCACCAGACAGCCTCCCACCCACCCGCATAGGAGCGGAGGAAGGGAGCTGAACACGAAGGAAATATAAATATTTAAAAAAGAACGATAGAAGCGTGCGGCACAATAAGCCCCATAAACATTCAGCCACTATCGTCTTCGTCATTCTGTTTGTTGGTTGGTTTGCTTCTTATTATTCGTCTTTTTTTTTGTTATTTGGTGGTGGTCTTGCGCCTGTGTAAGCGTCTCATTGCGTGCGTGCGTGGTGTGTGTGTGTGTGTGTGTTTCTGTGGCTGGAGCTCAGTGTGGCGCGATGTCTTGTTACCTCAGCCTGGTAGGCGCAAGTGCAAGGAAGAAGAGGACGGGGAAGTACGTTTCTATTTCCTTTTTCTTTTTTTGACTCAGCACAATTCACGAAGGGAAACAAAATAACTTTTTTTTTTCGTTTTCCCTTTCACTTTATTCTGTGTATTTGACGCCAAGAAATGCGGGCCCCTTTTTATTGTTTTTGTTTCTCTTTTTTT